CATCTTCTCAAAATATAAATGAAGTCATTTCATCCCTTGAGTAATAAAACCCAAATTTCTTATTCTGACTTGCAAGGCAGGCATGATTCATGCCTATCTTTCTGGAATTGTCTTTCTATGTCTTCACTGTAGTCTCAGACCAGTGCCTTTGTTCATTAAGCCTCAGCCTTCTCATCTTTCATTCTCTAAACTCTTCCCCACTTAGACTTTTACACATGCTGTTCCTTCTTTCTGGAAAATTCTTCCTTCAAATTTTGTGTATCTAGTGTTTTCTTGTTCCTTGGGCAAAAGGATAAATACTACTTCTACTCCTCCTTCTGAAAGGCTTATACTAGTCATCTTACTATTTTTTTTAAAATCTCAATATTACTCTTATTTTTTCTTCAAAAACCTTTTTTTTTAAACACATATATGCTGCTTAGTAGGTGTCAGATACTCTTCTATTAACTCATATAATCTTTACAACAACCTCATTAGTTGGTTATATTATTATCCTGTGTAAGGATGAGGGAACTGAGGCACAGAATGGTTAAATAACTTGCATATGGTGACACAGTAGGTTGGATTTGACCCAAGCATAGGAGTGTGTATTCTTTAGTACTATGAGAGTCTGCCTGTCAGTGTCACTTGTAATTGTGTTTGATTTTCTTTTAAAATTGTATTGTGGCAAAATATGTATAACCAAACTTGCCATGTTAGCCATTTTTAAGTGTGCAGTTTAGTGACATAAATTACAATCACCATGTTGAACAACCATTACCACTGTCTGCTTCTAAAAGTTTTCCATCACCCAAAACAGAAATTCAATGCTCTCTAATCAATAATCCCCATCCTCCCCTCCCCACCAGTCCCTGATAACCACTAATAAACTTTGCTCTTTATGTATTTGCCTATTCTAGATATTTCATATAAAAGGGATCAAACAATATTTGTTCTATTGTCTCTGTCTTAGTTCACTTAGCACAATGTTTTCAAGGTTTATCCATGTCATATCATGCACTGGAACTTCATTTTTTTTGGATGGCTGTGTAATACTCCATTGCATGGATATATATCCTACATATATACCTTCACCTGTTGTTGGGCATTTAGGTTGTTTTCACCTTTTGGCTGTTGTGAATAGTGTTGCAATAAAAACTGGTATACAAGTATTTGTTTGAGACTCTGGTTTCAATTCTTTTGGACATATACCTGGGAGTGAGATTGCTGGGTTATATGGTTAATTCTATGGTTAACTTTTCAGAAACCCTCAAACTGTTTTCCATAGCAGCTGTCCCATTTCATATTTGCACCAGCATTGGGTGAGGGTTCTAATTTCTCCCTATCCTTGTGTATTTTTTGCTGTTTTTGGGTCTATTTCATCTAGAAAATAAGGACCATTGACCCCTGACATCTTATTATTGTTCACTGATTTCACAATACCTACTTGGAAACCCTATACAGGGTCGCTATGGGTTGGAACTGACTCGACAGCACTTATATAACAACAATAATGATTGGATGGATAGGATTATTATGAATTGAAACTGATTCATCAGCATTTAACAACAACTGGACCTGGTACATAATAGTTTTTAAGTGCTGCCAAGCCAGTTAGTTCTGACTCATAGCAACCCTGTATACGGTTTCCAAGTAGGTATTGTTTATAAAGAAATACATTTGTCTTCTAGTTAAGTACCTTAAAATGTTAGAATAGTGCACATGCCTGAATGATGTCAGACTGAATTTATTAACAAAAAGATCAGTCAGAAAAATGGAGAAGGACAGAGCATAGGGAATGGGCAGCAATGGAAACATAGAAAGAGGAGAGCCACAGAGGCAAACTCTATTCTTAGTTTTATGCAAAGGAAATGAAGATACAGACAATCTATTCCAAGTACAGTGTTTGTTCCTTCTAGAAGGACTATATTTACAGTTTGTGAAATGAGGGATGGCCAGGGACATACTGGGATGAAGGTAGGTTAGCAATCTGCAACTGCAAGTTTCACCTCTTTCTATTCAGCTGCAGTTCATGAGAGATAGGGGATGGTGGTATAGGAACATCTGGGAGTTGTATCTCAATTAGAGTATGAGATCAAGAAAGCATAGGCAGAATGGTGTGGTCATAATCACCCTGCTTCTCTGTGAGGTGGCATGTTTCAAGTATTCAGGTATTTTCACTTTTTATTTATTAATTTATAGATCAGGATAATCACAAGAGAATATTCTGTTGTGAGTGTTGGCATCTGGAAGGAGTCTCTTTTGCCTTTTATTTTTCTGGGGCAATGAAAAGCACACCCAGAGAGTCTATTAGTGGAGGTTTTGTGAGGGTATTGACATTTTCTCTTCCTCCTACCATCAGCATTTGTCTTGTGTTCTTTACCATGTACAAAATGATGGAAGAGTTGGGGCCTGCTTTCTAACTTAGAAAGACTGGTGTTGTGTGTGTGAGTTTGAAAACCTCCTTGTCACTGTGAAAAAGTTCTGGAATAAATGCCACCTAGTAGGGAAGAGTTAAGGACCCCTTATGGAGCCCTGGTGGTACAGTGGTTAAAGTGCTTGACTACTAACCAAAAAGTCAGTGGTTGGAAAAAGTCAGTGGTAGGAGAAAGATGTGATAGTTAGCTTCAATACAGATTGTCAGTGTCATCGAGTTGGTTCCAACTCAGAGTGACCCTGTATAGGGTTTCCAGGGAGTTGCTGATGGGGTTGAAACACTAACCTTGTGATTAGCAGTTCAGTGCTTATCCTACAGTACCACACCAGGACTCTTCAATAAAGATTTGTGTTGTTGTTAAGCGCTGTTGAGTCAGTTCCGGTTTAAGCCACTCTGTATAGGGTTTCCGAGGAGCATCACTTACCTTGCTGTGCGAGCCGACCTTGCAGTCCAGTGCATTAACCAGTGGCATGAGCACTCAATAACGATTGTTGTTCTTAAGTGCCCTCAGTTCTACTCTGTCCCACAAGCTTGATATGAATCAGAAATCAACACCATGGCAACAGGTTTGGTTTGTATTGGTTTACAGACCCCATCCATCAATGGATCTGTGAATCCCACAGCCTCTCAAAAATCACACCTTTTCTCTTACTCTAGCTCCTATTGCTTCTTTTTTCTTGTTTGTTCTTTGTCCTTCACTCCATCATCTTTTCCACTGTTACTTCACCTTTACCTCCTTTTGTGAGTCTTCATTATCACTATTAATATTGACTAATCTGTGATGTGTTTACCTTGAAAACATATACTATTTACTTTCTGCATTTGTATTAGTAATAACTGAAGATGAAGTCAACATAATGATTCAGTTTAAGGCTCTGGAGTTAGGATCCAAATTTGGCTTCACCACTTAAAATGTTGCCTGACTTTGGGCCTTCCTTTTATTGCCTGTAAATTGGAGGCAATGCTTCCTATTTCAAGGGGCCCTGGTTGCCAAGTGGATTAAGCATTTGGACTACCAATCACAAGGTCAGCTGCTCTGAGAACAATCTCAAACCTTTATATAGGGTCACTCTGAGTTGGAATCCACTCGGTGGCAGTAGGTGGGCGGGGTGTTTCCCATCTCAAAGTATGTTTCTTAGTGTTACAAAGAAAGCAAGTAGAGCATTCAGAAGAATGTCTGGTATGCATCAACAATTATTAACTCTTTAAAAAATGTTTATCATAGGGTATTGTAGTAATCATGCAGTTTCCTTTATTGATGAATCAGTTAAGTAAGGTGATTTGGTGGATGAACTATTGGGGCAAGAAATAAAGGCACCTAGACGCTATGTTTTTAAGTGTCAGATCAGTTCCAATTCATAGTGACCCTATGTAGGGTTTCCAAGGAAAGACTGGTGAGTTTGAATTGCTAAGCAGTTCAAAGGTGCTATGGCTATGGGGTGCCTGAAATACAGGGATTTGTGTGTGTGTGTGTGTGTGTGTGTGTGTGTGTGTGTAAGAGAGAGAGAGAGAGATGAAGTGATCTTGTGGCAAACTGGGCCTAGAAGACCTTTGGAGAAAGCAAACAATCCTCAATGAACACTGTCTTGAGGGGCAAGAAAGTTATTTGTTGAGATTGTACACTGGATCAGGCCAGGTCAGGGAGGAGACCAAGGAGAGGGAAGGTGGGAACACGAGGTGGGCACCTTGGGGCACGGCTGAAAGCTTTTGGAAGCACAACATTAGTTCTAGTGGAAAAGGCCAAGAGAGGATGCCACAAGCCTAGGGAAGCAAGGAAGCTTCACGGGCTCAGACCATGTTAGTTAATATTTGTTTTTCTTTGGTTTGGATGCCAAGCAGTTTCCTGAGCTGGGGCCCAAGTCGCAGGGAGATAATTGGGGCATCCACGCCATTCACGAGAGGTTCCACTTCTTCAGGGGTAAAGCCCTCGGAGGAACGCCTGCGCCAGGCAAGCAGGGCGGAGGCTCCTACCCCTGGCCCCTGCGCTTCCCCTGTACAAGCCTACCGCTCCTCCTCCACTTCGTGCACCTTGCGCTCCACCTTGCGCTCCAGCCAGGCGGGAGGCGCCGCGGGACGTTTCCGTCTAGTCTTTTCCTCCTCCCTCTGCACTGACTCCATCCTCCTCCCCGCCCCCTGCTCGGAGTCTGGCCCAGGCTGGGAGGGAACAGGCCCGAGACTGCATCATTCCGCACAGGCTGCAGCAGGGCCAGAGGGAGCAGGTGGAGAGAGCGAGCGAGACGCGAGCCGGAGCGCACCAGTCGGAAAGGGGAGACTGCAGTGACGCTGTCCGGGAGACATGGCGGCCGGGCGCCTCTGAATAAGCAGAATCCGGAGCCCCCTGGCCGCCCCTGGCCATGCCTCACGGCTGCTGACCGCACGCAGGGGCCAGCCCAGAGGACACATGCGGCAGCAGCTGCCGCCTCGCCCCTAATTCTCTCCTCTGCATTCTCCATGTTGTATTTCTTGTCAGTTTCTCTGGCTGTGTAGCTGCTGCTGGCGGCAGAGGAGCAGGCAGAACATTGCTCCTCTCATTTATCCACCACACTTTTTCTTTTCCATTTTTAACCCCCTCGCGCGTTTTCCTTTTCCCTTCTTCCGCCTGCTTTATTTACTTTCCACCCACCCACCCCTGTCATCTCCTCCCTGCCACCTTCCACCGGGGCTATGGCCGCAGAAGAGGTATTGCAGACTGTGGACCATTATAAGACTGAGATTGAGAGGCTGACCAAGGAACTCACAGAGACAACTCACGAGAAGATCCAGGCTGCCGAGTACGGGCTGGTGGTGCTCGAAGAGAAGCTGACCCTCAAACAACAGTATGACGAGCTGGAAGCTGAGTACGACAGCCTTAAACAGGAGCTGGAACAGCTGAAAGAGGTGAGTTGCCTGTCACCTCTTGCTTCCTCGGACCCAGTCCACTCCCATCTCCATCCCCAGCTCTTCATTTATAAGGAAGTCGGGAAGGATGTAATTGAAAGGACTGTTTCTTCATCTTAGAGTTCTTTGTTGATAAGAGAAAATTGAAAGAGCCCATTGTTTTTCCCCCAAGAGAAAAATTGCTCAGGAAATAAATGTATAAGCTAGAATTTGGGAGGCAATGGTTGTGGGGGAGGGAGCTACTTAACAATCTTCAAGTATTGGTACTCTAAAACGACAGTAGACTGGGTTGGAATGTATAAATCAAACTTACAAAACTGTTATTGGAAGCTCAGGTTTTAGGGGCAGCCCCATATGCACAAAGGTAACTGGGGGGCGGAGATAGGCTTGTGGCCTGAGGAGTCACAGTTGGAGGAGATAGGATTATGGTACCTCTTCTTCAACAGAATGTAACCACTCTTAGATTCTAGAGGGAGCTGTTATTAGTACTCCTTGGCAATCCCGTATGACAAAGGCTGGGAAATTTTCACTCTCCTTGGCTGTGGTGATTTTTGTCATCAGCTACGGGAGAAAAACAACTCTTCTGGGGTGATGACTGCTGCCTTGATTTCACCTCAGAGAGAGATTGGGCCATGCTCAACCTTATGAGGTCACCCTGATCAGGGAAAATTGAACTCACCTACAAATCATCTGAAAGAATGCTGTAAATGAAACACCTGCCTACCTGGGTAGCTTTGCATTTCAAACAAGGGTCTCTGGTTGAAATAATTGTATTTAAAAAAATCAGAATCTCATAACTGGGCTATGCTATGCATAACACTTGTTCTCATCTTTTAAATGTCTTGGCTTCTTTTAATGGCTGTTTAATGTACTGGAAGAAAATAATGAACATGCTTTGATTTCCTAGTATACACTCTTAGGAATTTATACGTTGCTTAAAGAAGTCTGTTTGTTTTATCTGATTCCTGAGGCACTATGGGTAGCAGTTAACCAGTTATAACATTTAAATGTACAAACTGCTGTCTGTGTGACAAGTCTTTATTTTTAGGTGCATATTGGCATTTTAAATGTTAATTCTCATTTGATATAAAATTGTTAAAAATAATTCTCTAACGTACTCAAGGAATATTTGTTTTTCTGTAGTAAAGTGGGTCTTGTTTTGTGTTGTTACAGTTAAAAAGATGTTATCTGATCAACCTGCCTTTTTATTTTAGTACATTATATAATAAGCATTTATACTTTCAGACATTCCTTATTTTTATTCTGATGTCTAAATGCCAAAAAAAATAAATGTAGTACATTTGACTGTAAGACCCTCAACTAGAAATCTCATTTTTGTGTATCAGACTGTAAAATTCTAATTCATGGATTTTTGTTTTTGTTTTTCCTTTTACCAATTCTCTACTCTTAACAAAAGCTGGACTAGAGTCTATTGTCCAACATAGATTAGGTTTTAGGCTAGTATGTGTCAATTTAGTGATGTTAGACTGTGTGAAGTAGGAAACAGGATAATGATTGTAATTCTCAGAGAATGTTTTGATGTTGTCTACACCTATCAACACTGCTTTGTCAAGACAGGGAAGTACAAACCAGACAGTGTTAAACCATTAGCACCTTGATAAACGAGGTAATTTTAATTTAATGAAATGCCATGTAACTATTAACTGACCTTCCCTCTTGATTTAAACAATCTTTTTAGGTATGTTCGTGTGTCATTGCCCTTACCCTGCATGAATGTATTTATCTTTTTCCTTATTAGACTATGAGCTCCTAAGGCAAAGAATATATCAATTTATTTTGCACCCAAAGTCCTTAACACAAAACCTAACACACAGAAGGCATGCAATAAAAATTTCACAAACCAATACATTTGTACAGGAAGAAGATAAACATTACTGGATATTCAGAAGTCAGTATTGGTTAGTGTCAGATAACGACTAAGAAAATTAGAAGTGTTTAGTTTTAAAAATCTATTTGTATTGGTTTCATAAATTGTGACGAGAAAAAATATCTTGTAGGAGTAAGTAACAGTGGTTTCTAAATACAGAACAATGCAAATGCCAATTACAATTTGCTTTTCTATGAAAATCTGAAGCATATTTTGTTTTATATAGCTAGAAGTTAATAAACATTTATAAGGATTATTTTTATCAAATGGTACTTGCTCACATCTGTATTTTGAGTTGCATTTAACATTGGTATAATTCAATTTAAAAATTTTAATGAACAGGCTCAAACAACTGTGGTGCTGTTGGTTAAGCACCCAACAACTAATTGCAAGGTTGTACTTCAAACCCACCATCTGCTCCTGGGAAACTGTATGCAAAGGGTCACTATGAGTCAGAATCAACTCAGCTGCACTTAACAGAAAAAAAAAATACTGAACAGGTTCAGACAATTATATAAAAATGTATTTTTAGGATAATAAAATCGATATCTGTTAGTGAGACTTGTTATTTTTATCCTGTAAACATGCTGTAGACTTTAGTTGAGCATATTATTTAAGTATGCAAAATCAGTCTTAAGTAATGTTTCCTATCTGAAAAATAAACCCAAAATAATTGTGCAAACTGAGATATGCCAATGATGACATATAGAAGCCATTTTTGAACAACAGGGTGATGAGTGATTTGGTTTTCCAAAAGGAAGTTTTTTGTTCATTTTCACAGATAGTAAACAATATTGTTGCTTTATATATTTAAGCCAGGTATGAAATAAATCTTTGGCTTATTTTCAGTCTCTTTGAACAAGTATGCTTAGTTTAAAAATAATTGGACCAGGTTTTGGAACTGTCAACAGAAAATGATTGTACTGAGCCCAAGTTGGATATAGGTAATTTGCTGTGTAGCGACATTCTTTATGGGTTTTGTTTTCGGTATCAGCACCCTCCTCCCCAGGCTAAGAACTGCTGTTAACAGTCCTGCAAGTGAACAACAACATTGCCTGAAGACATACAGAATCAATGCGATGAATTCATTAATATTTTTTTGCTAGTTATTTCTTCCCTCCACTGATTGCTTTTTGGTCTGAACCCATTTAAGGCTTTGCCCTCTACCTAGTTGCATGACAGCTGTAATTCTGTTCACAAAAGGATACTTGAAAGAAATGAGCCTGAAAAAAGGGTGAGTTTTCCTTTTCAAAATACTTTGCACAGCTGGACAAAGCAACATGTCCACTGGAATACTTGAACATAGTTTTGTGATTTCAAATGACCTAAGGGCACTCTGATCTGACCTGACTCATTGTATGTTTGAGATGTGTGTAAATTAGCACCATGCTTCTGTCATTTAGACCAAAATAGCATTTGAGGAGTCATCCTTTTAAAATAATTATAAAACTAAATATATACATATTTTTAAAACCTTAGATGTTACATTGTAGTTAAAAATATAGATGAAATTTAAAATGCAGTAAGGATTTTTAAAAAAACATTTATTTTGTTGTTGTTAAGAAGATACACAACAAAATGTACACTGATCCAACAGTTTCTACCTATGTGGTTCATTGACATTGATTAGATTCTTCTAGTTGTTCAACCATTTCCATCCTCCTTTTCTGAGTTGAGCCTCTGCCATTAACACAGATTCACTACCTCCTGAAATTCCTATCTCATTTTTCAAGTTTCGATTTGCTGTTGTCAATTTGATCCCATTGGATTTTTAAAAAGCATAATGCTCAAGGCAGACAGTTTTTTCTACTTAAACTAAAAATGCAGTACGGTAACCTCGAAATGAAATAATTTAGCATTACTGGTAACGTTTTAGGAAACAGATGTGTAGCAGCTTTAGAAAAGTTTTGCAGCTAGGTTACAGTAGACTCTGGACTAGGAATCTTCAATTCATCTTCTTGCTCATTTTCTCAACCCTGATGTCAGGACAGTCACCAGCTGCTGAAGAAGCACTTGATGGACACTCAGAAGCTTCTTATGGAGCCAGCTTTAAGCTTTTTCAGGGTTACTGTTAACCCAGTCAAGCAAGAAACATCTATAGCACTGTGGGATAAAGCACTGGACCTCAAGGTCACTTTGAACCACAAGGTCGGTGGTTCAAACTCACAAGTCGTTCCTTAGAAACCCTATATGGGGTCACTGTGAGTCGAAACTGACTCTATGGCACTTGTTGTTGTTAGGTGCCAAGGAGTCAGTACCGACTCATAGCAACCCTATGTACAACAGAATGAAACACTGCCTGGTCCTGGGCCAACATCACAGTTGTTGCCGTGCTTGAGCCCATTGATGTTGCCACTTTGCCATTCCATCTCTCTGGGGGTCTTCCTCATTTTCCTCTTCATTTTGAGTTGTGCCCCATCAGCAAATGAAGGTCCTGAGGGCTTTACTCCCAGGAGCTTTACTCCATTCGCATCATCATGGTCAACTCCACTTTGAGGAGGCAGCTCTTCCCCAGTCGCATTTTGAGTGCCTTTCAGCCTCAGGGACTCATTTTCCGGCACTATATCTGGCAGTGTTTCTCAGCTATCCATAAGATTTTCAGTGACTAAATATTCAGAAGTAGTTTGTGTCTCCTTCTTTCTAGTGGGTCTTTGTCTGTAAGCTCATCTGAAACCTGTCCACCATGGGTGACCCTGCTGGTATTTAAAATAGCTGTGGCATAGCTTTCAGAATCACAGCAACTCACAAGCCACCACAGTACAACAAAGTGACAGTCAAGTGGTGGCTATGGCACTTAACAACAACAAATACAATTTTGTGGGCTCCTGGACTGTGAGCCAGAAGTCAGCAGTTCAAACCCACTAGCTGCTCCTCAGAAATCTTATACAGGGTCGCTAGGAATTGGAATAGACTCTTAATAACAATACAGTTTTAGAGTCCTAGTGTGGTGCTGTAGGATAAGCACTAGACTGCTAATTTCAAGGTTGGTGGTTCAAACCCACCAGCTGCTCCTCGGAAGCTCTATTCATGGTTACTATGAGTTGGAATCAACTTGATGGCACATAACAACAACAATACACTTTTAAAGGCTGTCACATTAGGGATTCTCTGA